CGACCCGGTCGGTCGATAAGCGGATTCCTCCCACGTACGTGGAGCATTCGCGACGCGTCGCGAAAGTTCAGCCAAGTTTTCCGCGAAACTGGATTCGTTCGGGGCCGGCGAGTTATCGCGCGGTTCTTTTTTATATTTCCCCGGGACACAACGGTGTCTCGCGGAGCTGGCGGTTGTCGTGACATGGCTCTCGAATAGGACACTTGACTGATCGATCCAGCGCCGGTTGACAGCTATAAATATATCGTTGAGAAATTAATACCGCGGAGAGCTAGTTTGACCTATTTCACTCTAAAATCATGAATACTTTAAACCTCTAATCCTTCGATTTTCAAATATCGCGGCTATAATAAAACCGAGCCAAATGGTACGTACGAAACATATGCTCAGCGAGAATGGAGATTAAACAAATACCGAACCGTTTAACTAAATCGTGTCCCGCGGTTCCCGGGCATCGACAGTTCGCCGGTAAAAGCGAATTTGTTTTTGAAACTCCAGTTCGTGACAGCTTAGCCTCGAGGTAAATTACCAAAGTTATCAATAATCGTTGCATTGAGTCGCCCGCGCTGGACTGCAGCGGAAAGCAAACGCAGAGACGGCTCGCGGCTAATCCACGGAGGCCTCTGACGGGCCGGCGAGTGTAATTTTAAATGAAAAGTCACTCGGCGATCCTTTAATCCGAACGAAGTAACAATCTTCGGGTGTCACGGCACATCGGTCGGGGTGCAGCTGTAGACAGTGACAACGATAAATATTTATGGAAAGATATCACGATTCAAATTAAGATCCGAAAAGAGACCGAACACGCCGCCGGGAAGTAATTTCGCGTCTACGGAAGCAAGAAAAAACTCCCTTCCGTCGAGGACAAGTCGTTATCGCTAAAGTGGCGTACTTTAGATATTCCTCGCACGTTTTTAAAGTGTCCCGTGTCAAAGAGTTCGCAGAAGGGCAGAAAGAGAGAAAGAGGGAGAGAGGGTGGGAGAGAAAGAGAGAGTTTCCCGAGGTAGCAGCAGCAGGAGTCGTCGTCCAGTCCCCAGAGAGGATTTTCCTGAATTCGTTTCAACTGGATTTCCTATCCGCCAGTCAGGTACACTTCGGCATAAGCACACACAGTGACGCACACGTAGACCCTTCGTGTCACGCAGCCGACGCGAACGAAACGTATCTTCGTGGAACAATATTTTCGTTTCCCTCGCTCGCGTGATCTCTACGCCCGGACTGTTTGCCGGGATACACTCCAGGTAGGGTGAACGTACACCGTGTATTATCACCGTCGAATCGGGTTTCATTCGGCCAGATTCGACTCGAACTGGAAACTCGTTCCCTCGCAAATCCTCCGACGGATGTTCCTAAGGTTTCACGGGGAACGCCGCGGCGAGCACGAGTTTTTGTCAACGTGGGACGTATCTCTTCCTTTTCTGTTGCCATCGGCCCGGCACAGAGCAGGGCTCCGGCTTACTTTTTTCGGTGTTCGTTTAACCCTACGGAACGGCGTCTGGCTCGTAGCGAAATTTCAAAATTGAATTTCGTTCGTTTGGAAAACGGCGTAACAGCTCTTACGATTTGTTCGTTCGTTTGAGACAAGCAGTTGGACTTCTAAGTGTTCATCCATAAAATGTAAGAAGTCGGAACGATTTCTGATGCGGGGAAATGGTTAGCTCTGCTTCGGTTAGCACGGAATTGTCATTGTATATCTAGTTCCTCTCGCCGGAGACAGTTTGAGAGATCCTGATCGAATGAAGCACCCTTGTAATCGACTGCGGGAGTGACAGGTACCGGAAGCACCGAGACACGCCGTGTTATTTAATATAAAATTTTGATGGGCCCGAGATTGGTGGATCGAGCCGGATCCAGAGGCAACGGGGGTTAAGTCGATGAGGCGAAAGAGATCGAGAGTTCGGGAGAGGCCGAGTGTAAGGGAGGGCTGGTGATCGATTGCGTCGGTACATGCACAATAATAGGGGGATGGAGTCATGTATCCGGGCTAAACAGCCCATTTGCCCTGCACAATGGAAGCGACGTCGCTGTGGGCTCGACTTAATTACCAGAGGCTGCCTTTGGCGGAGATCAGAGAGGCGAAGAGAGGCGAGAGGATCCCCTATCGGGAGCAGTCTACACCTAAGCCCCATTTAACAGACTCCCAAGAATGCAAAATTCACAGACAAATCGATGCTCTTCAATGGTAAATTTAATTAACGTTGTTAGCGGAACTTGATTGCTGGAACAATCGCCAAAGAAGACGAACGGGTAGACGATGCACTCGAATGGGCCTACGCCAATGTAAATAAAGTTAACAGTATCGTTTAAGTGGCCTCGAACCGCGAGTGTACACTTCGCCGCGAATCCAGTGTAACACTCGTTTTATCGTTGTAAAAAAATTATTGGCTCTTCAATTCAACTATTTTCTATTGATACCCGGCTTTTCTAAGTAAATAATAAGTATGTCGGAAAAAACGAACGTTATAAGTAGACTGCGAAGTAAGTGGATCTTGAATCTCGAATCATACATTCGAGGGAAATGCACGCAATATGAGAAAATATACGAACAATCGAAAGTGCATTGCTTTTCACTGCTGTTACCGCGCGAGAAAAGTATTCGCGACGCGACGTGAACGATACGTTCGGTGATGCTCACCTCCAACGCGAATTTAATTGCGATGGAAGATCTTTAGGTGTTAGAAGAGGAAGACGTGACTCTCAGGGTACAGAATTGATGAACGTTTTAAAAAAACTTTAATACTGACTGCCACAGACTTTCTTACTAGGGCGACGCCGTGCCACGGAAAAACGCAAGGCTTGTAAAAATCCGAAGACCTGGACATCGTTTTATTAAATTGACTATTTTCGTTACGTACAGATGTCCAAGACTTCCGACTTACTGCATGCCGGACGCTAAAGCGCCGTTCGTCGAGCCTGCTTGTAATTTTTATGATTTGTGCTGCGTCACGACAATTGCATTGTTACAGAATACTGTTCTCCATCATGATTCTATTTTTTTTTAATTACATAGAAAAGTTGAATTTTCATAATGATTCGCAGTGTAGTTATAAATTAGTAACAACCAATATTTAAATGACCCGACATTTTGAAGAGTGAATGTGAGTATATTTAGCAACGAAAGAACTAGAAACTGGGACATTGTTTTACTCTCATCACACGTTATTCGTATCAATTGCATCTGCGCTATGATCGTTGCTTTTAATGAACGAGTTCAACAAGAAGTTTACGGCCATATTCCTGACATTGTTACGTGTTAATGTGTTACAGCAACCTTGTGGATTGATTGAACTAATATCGTCGCTGTTATGGCACCGCACATGTTCGGGATGCTTACGCGGTCGATCTCTATGCTCGCTATAACCAAATGCTCCTTGATAACTTAATATCGCGGAGCTCGTTACGCATACGCGTGACATTAGACACTTAGACATGACACTTTAGACGTGTGATACACTTAAGGGGGTGCTCTACTGTCAGTACCTCGAAAATAGGCAATTTTGGTGAATTTTCCTTCTAAAGTATGTATTTCATTTTATACGATGAGCATACTGCGGTCTCGAGGTACCAAAAACTTTCCAACTACCTATAATAAATTGCGACGCTCTTAAACAGGCAATGATATTGAATTTCGCAATACAAGCAATCGATTACGCATATACACCAGACATATCTGTTTATATCCAAGATCGAAAGTAGAACCGAATAATTCTTTCATATGTATATTCGTCATGACACTGATGTTTAATTGTAAATTGGTTATTCACATATTATCAAGTTTTTCAGAATAAATAAATGTATCTATTCTCTTTAATTCTACCGAAAGATGTATTCTACGATATTTGTTAGACGTGCAACCCGTCACTGAAAAGAGATCTGTCGTCTACAGGGCCCACTAACTATACCACTGTGCCCTCAGGTTAATCGCTTCAATCTGCTACGTTAGTATACTCAGAGGTAACCGTATAGCGAGGCAGTAAACCCAGTGGGACCATAAACAGAAGCTCCTTTTGCGGATTCGGAGCAGCTCAGGCATTATTGGGTACGATATTATTTCAAATAGCAGACAATAAATGGACCGTCTCACTTGAAATTTTCAGTAAGTTTTGAGTAGCAATAATATGCTCGAATTGTGCACGAAAATAAAATTCCATTCTAAATTTACTAGATATCGTTTCAACAGATAACGCAATAACAACATGTATCATTTCAAATGACATTTAAATCGTCTTTGTAGAAAATGATGTGATCAGGTCAAAGCGAAGATCCTCGAACCCAGAACCGCGTACAGGATTTCAAAAACTTCTAAAGCCGGTCTGAAGCTAAAGCTCCCTTAAAAGAAGGCTACCTCGCAAACTATACACCGAGCTAAGTATCACATTTTTTATTGTCGCGGTACTTCTTGCTAACTGGCAAGCCCAAACAACTATTTACTGTCTCGTCATATTTACTTCCTCGCTACAACACCGCTCCGAGGCGTGCATCAAAGAACCATTTTTAAACCAACCATCCCAAGGATGCCAGGAAGTCATTACATCTGTCTATTATTATAGACGTCTTATTAGACGTCCAAACATTTTTTGTTATTCCGTCGAATCAACACATTAATCCCTAGCTACAAAGGTTACGTCAAAGTGCACACAGAAAGAGATTCAAGATTTTCTGAACCGGCGGTATTCGATCCCGAGGAGCCACTGAATCCGTCCGGTCGAGCAGACAAATCTCATCGATAATTTGAAGGTAAACTGCACGCGAAGTTCGAGCATTCTTACGGCCGGGCCGTTCGTTACTTATCTCCCGACATGGCTCACGGAGCGGAGTATACCCGGGAAACCGGAGCAGTAAGAGTTCCCCCGGAAAACAAAACAGTTTTCCGATAGTTCCGTCTAGTGTGAAAACGAACAGAGTTAGCGGAGCCCGGCCATTAGTACGGGAGCGGCGGGCTCCCGGTATGTATCATTGCGGGAGGGAGGATAAATTACGAATCTGCGCCTAGTACTTACCAAAGTTTTCATAAAGTTCACCGGTTCGCTGAGGCCACTGCATTAAACGGGAGTGTATCTGTAACAGACGGCGTAGTTTCTGTTTAGCGTGACATGTAGATAGGGGAACGTATCAATTTTATTTGAAATGGCGTAGGGTTCCGTTATCATCGTCGCTGCGCAACACCGTCGGCCCGTTCCCGTCTTCCCGTATTCGCGATTCAACCGCCGTGCAAAATCAAAAATTTCACAGAAGAACATTGTAACGAGGGATGAAAACCGCGAAATTCGTTGTAGCGCAGAATGTAGGTTTCTGCGCAATTTCGCAACGGCGATGCAGGCGCTTCAGTATTCAACGCCGACGCTTCTGTCTTTAGCTCCAATTGATAAGCATGTGACGTTTATCTCCGTCAGAGTACACGGGCATGGCATAAATATCAGCGCAAAATCGCTCGCGCTCACTAGTATAGCGGCTGGCGGCTAGCTAGCAGCATCGTTTGAACTACTGCTCCCGTGGAACCGGAAACATGGAGTCCACGACGTTAACGTTGCTGCTCGGCGCGTTGGTGCTTCTGGTGCTTTATATGCTGAAGAAATACACTTATTGGCAGAGGCGCGGGATTACAGTTGCCAGTGGGTTCATACCGTTTTTGGGTCACACGTGGCCGATATACTGCTTGAGGATGAGCCTGCAGGAACTGTTCGAGAGGATATGCACGGAACAAAAGAATCGCAGTATGTTCGGGATATACGACATGTTCACGCCGGCGTTGGTGTTACGCGAAGCGGCTTTAGTAAAGACCGTGTTGCAAGGCAGCTTCACGAGTTTCCATCGGAACGGATTCCAGATATCGAAAGATCAGGATCCTCTATTGTATTATAGTCCGTTCTTCAACGAAGGCCAGGAATGGATGACCGGAAGGAAGCGGCTAACATACGCGTTCTCCGGCTTGAGGCTAAAGGTGATGTTCTCCGCCGTGAGCGGCGTGTCCAGGAAGATGCAGGACTACCTGGAGAGACGGATGAAAACGACCAACAAATACGAGACTGAAATGAAGAGTTTCTTCGGACGGTTCACAGCCGAGACCGTGGCGAACGCGGGCATGGGCGTGGAAGGATACAGCTTCGATGAAAACCCGCCGCCGGACTCTTTCCACGACATTGGCACGCAGATCTTCAACCCGATGTTCCTTCTAGCGATTCTGAACAACCTGGTACTTCTCAAACCCGGCATAGCTAAAGTGCTAAAGCTCTCGTTCCTGCCGAGGAACGTGGACAGATTCTTCAGGAACTTCGTCGACGAGAACCTAGAATTGAGGGTGAAGAACACGGTACCGAGGAACGATTTCTTCCAAGTGATGGTCGATTTCGAGAAGGAACAGAGCGAGAAGTTAAACAAGGAGGTAATCACGTCACACGCGCTTACATTCTTCTTCGACGGTTTCGAGACCAGCCGGTTGACCCTCAGCTTCATCACGTATCAACTGGCGATCCATCAGGATGTTCAACAGAAAGTGAGGGACGAGATCAAGAGCGTCATAGCTAAATACGACGGGGTGCTAACCTACGATGCTTTGAAGGATCTCAAGTATATGGAGCAAGTGATGAACGAGGCGCAACGATGCCATTCGGCTTTGGTTTTCCTGAGGAAGGAGTGCACCGAGGAATTTGTGCTCGAGGGCTCGGATGGACTGCGGTTTCGCGTGGAACCCGGTACGCAAGTGCTCATACCTGTCGAGGCGATTCACCACGACCCCACTTACTGGAAGGACCCGATGGTGTTCGATCCCGAACGTTTTAGCGAAGAGAATAAGCCAAATATAGAAAAAATGTCTTTCATCCCGTTCGGGGAGGGTCCACGCATGTGTGTCGGCATGCGAATGGCGATACTGGTGATGAAATCGTGCTTGGCTACCTTGCTAAATGACTATAAGATCGAACTCTCACCGAAAACCAAAGTTCCTTTGAGGTGGTCACCTTGTCATTTCCTGTGTGAACCCCGTGACGGTATTTGGATGAATATTACGAAACTATAAAGTGTTTTGTTACTTTGTTGCTCGTATTTAATACTCTTTGTTTCTCGCGTATGATGTAATATTAAGTTTCGTAATGTTTCTCTATACGATAATTACTGTCTTGTGACATTCGAATATTACTACTCGAAGAGATAAGTGTCGGCACGATAACGTATCGAAACAAATGTCTATTTGCGATGTTGACATCATTCGTAGAAGTGGTTTGTAAACATATTTTTTTACTTTATATTAGTCTTGTTTATTTCATTCTAAGAAAAGACGAATGTTTCGCATAGTTTTCAATTTGAACTACTATGTCGTTATTTGTTGCATGAAACGATTTGGTTTTCGTGACATGCAACCTCGGTGTAATAGTTTTCGAACTAAACGCGCCGGATGTTGGAGGCTACCGTGTCCGTCAATTTGTTAACCTACTAGCTACAGTCTCTCTGTGCAACGTAACGACGTATGAAACCCATTTGTAATCGTAAGGTCAATATAGACTACTTTAGTAATTCAGTTTCTTTTATTTCACATTGTTATTGCTCCCTTTATCCTTGAAATTTATTCATATACTCTCAATATTTTAATAGAAACATCTATTACTGTTATTATCATCATTATTATTATTCACATTGTGTAATATTAATAAGATTGCATGATATAATAATCTATTGAGATTATTCACCTAAATTATTCGCTTAGTCATCATATAAAATTTCAGCTGAAAATAATTAATCTTATCTTTAGATAACTTTTTTTTTCAATTTGTTGACACTTGTAGTTGGAAACTTTAGGATGTCTGCTTTTATTCGCAGACCTTTATCTCAAAAATAAACAGCGCCATGCGACCAGATTACTCTGGAACTCTAGTACGCAACAAAATTACTTTGATAACAAAATCTCGAGATTTTACTTCTTTGTCTGTCTGTCTGTCTGTCTTTTGTTGCGCAATAGCCCGGGATAGATAAATAGAAAAACAGGGGACACATAAACTTTGCAGCCGTGTGTAGGTATCCGTGTTGACTGCAAGTATGTCTCTCCCTCGTCTCAGAAGGTAGCGACTCGAACAGGTTCTCTGAGTGGTTTCTCGTGTTCGCTATCGTCATGTACACATAACTACGCTCAATGTACGTGTGCGGGCGTACATATTCTATATTTTATAGGTATATTTTATCGTCTGGCTCGTCGGTTACGTGGCAACTCGACGAAAGAACCAAGCTTCCCAAAACAATTCGAATAAAGTGATTATCGATAAAGTGATCAAACGATATACTATTTTAACGGGGTGCGCGTTCTATTGCACGAATTTAATTTTTGGATCATCGTCATTCGAAATCAGTAAAAAGAGGAAGAAGATATTGAATATTCAATTGAAAACGAAGAAGTATAATCAAATTTGTACGCACTTATAAAACACTTTAAGTTAATAAACATAATTACAGATGAATAATAAAATTATACTTATTTACACATATTTAGCTGAAATTATCGCTTGTTATTACTTCGCATCCTCCTCGTTTAAATAACGTTTCTAAGAAATAATATGGTAGACACTAATTCGAGATAAAAAACTAAATCACATCATTAAAGAACTACGAGTAATCAACTTCTATTCAACGACATCAACATATCTACACTTAATACGTTGATACTGAAACAAACTGTTTGTAATCTACATGAAGTAATCGAATCCATTTTCACTCGTCCTACATTCCTCTTTACCTTCACATTTACTCTAAAAAAGGTTCATCGAAACGTCTTCGAAAATCTCTCCGAACCAACAAGCCCACAGGAGACGAAGGAACTCGGGATCGACCTCGCGAACGAGGAGATCGCGCAAAAAAGAAATTCCTTTGAAACACCCGGAGCGGGAGAGAGAAAAAGGAGCAACGACTCTTGATTAACTTGGAACTGTTCAATCAACCTTATCGTGTGCTCCTGTCTGCTGACAAGTCCATTAAGCCCCCCGGTAAATAAACAACGATCTTAGGTTTTAATTAGAAAGTTTGTTAATCCGTCGCGTCCGACGGAAGCAAATCCGGATGTTTAACGATTCATAAATCGATCGGTCGACGAATGGATTTCCCGGCCATCTAATTCGCGAACCGGTCTCCGCGTTGAATTATGCGCGAGAATTCGATTCGACCCTGCTTCCGAACACAATGCGTTCGCGCTCGCGTCGAGTAAGTACATCTACCCTCTTTTCCCTCGTTCTCCATTTCACTTCCACGCTCTATTCTCCTTTTCCATTTGATTCGTCTCCTAGACCGATCGGTTCCGTTGCTCGCCCACCGAGAAACAAGAAAGCGCACGATAGAGGATCGACGCTGGTGTGCGCACCCTCGAAGGCGGAAACGTGTGGTGTCGTGCCACGAGCAGAAGGGGATGGCGCGCGACGACCAAGGAGAGAAGGGTGGTTTAGGGCAGGGGATGAGGAAAAGGGCCTCGACGTCCGTAGTGCATCTTTCTCTGATTTCCCGCGGGACGAGTCGCCTCGGTAGCTTTCTC